GGGGTGACATGGTTTCAGAGCATTGTGTCCCCAGTCCACAGGCACCAGGTACACCTTCAGAAGATCGACAACTGGGATGTCTATCTACTGTGGTCCCCTATGCTTAGGACGGCTGTGAAAGGAAACAAAACCGTGTAGTATTGGGAATGAAAACTTACTTCTAGCTCACTCTACTCTGTAGAGTGAGTCAACAAGCTGGACCCCATTCTTTGCTTGTCTCACGTGGCACAGGACCAATTATGACACTCACTAGCATTAGGGTGTTAGGAGAGCTCAGCGGAAAGCTTCCCTACACCCCATCCCTGTAGCTCAAAAGAAATAGTTTATCACTATTTTTATTGTACAAACTTAGTATATTGTGGCTGAAGGGATGGTTCAGTGGTTAAGAGCACTTGCTGCAAATTCATGAAAACCGGAGTTTGGATCCCAGCACCCAAGTACCAATCCAGGCATCTGCCCACATACCTGTAACTGCAGCTCGGAGTGCAGGCAGTGACAGGATTACTGAGATTTGCCGACTTCCAGCATAATGGAGGAAAATGTGAACCCTGGAGTCAGAGAGAGACCTTGCCTTAAAATGTAGTAGGCAAAGAGGGACGGAGAATGACACTCTACCTACTCTTCTGGATCCTACACACACCAACAGAAGCACATATACTCATGCACATAGACAAACATATGCCAATCTTTTTACAAAGTGTACAGCCAATCATAGTGTATAGTGTGCGTACTACTTGTGCCTTGTGGAGTAGGTACTAGTCTTCATTTTCAGTTTAGGTCAGAGGAAGAGTATTTGGACCTAAAAAAAAAAAAAAAACAAGAGGGCCAGAGAGATAGCTCAGTGGTTAAGAGTACCAGCTGTTCTTGCGGAAGACCTAGCTTGATTCCCAGCATCCACATGTCGTGCACATAAATCCATGCAGGGTATGTATGTATGTATGTGTGTATGTATGTATGTATGTATAATAAAAATTTTAAAACACAACTATCCTGGAGGCTGTGGCTCAGTGATAGAACACTTGTCCATCATACTAGCATTACAGACAAGGAGAAATGAATATTCTTGATCCTTAAAAAATAAAGCAACAGCCAAGTATGATGTGCATGCCTTTAATCCCAGCACCCGGGAGGCGAGGGCAGGGAGATCTGAGTTTGAGGCCAGCTTCGTCTGTGTAGCCAGTTCCAGCTCAGCCAGGGTGTTAAGAGTATCTAAAACATCTATCAGCCTCCTATGCAAGTGCTGCTTATACTGTACAATACTGTTTTGTAACAGCTTTTTAAAATTACACTTAAGTACAGCTGATAGCCTCTTGGTAACCCAGAGCTATTGCCAGCCAATTACAGTTTAGGCTAAGCCTAACCATTATCTTGAGTTAATATACTGTCCTGACACCACCAACACAGATCAGGGCCCCAGGCTTAGCCACTGTTTCTGGTCCTTTGTTCTGTGTCTTTTCAGGATCTGGTTTGTGGACCTTAGCACCTCCATCCCTCCCACCCTAAGCCTCCTTGCTGGGCTGTGGGGATCTGTTTATATTTGCTCACCTACTTGTACTAACAGCCATTGCACTGTTTTTTATGGGAGGAACAGGCCGTCTGCTTATCTCGCCAAACAACAGGGCATTTATCTCTAATCAAGTTGAGCTTGGCCACCAGAGATCCATAGCTGCTGGCAGCGTCGATGTGCTTGCTAAGTGCTAGGTTTGATAAGTCAAGTTGTGACCCAGGATAACTCCTTCAGTGGTGTTCAGAGTTCCCAGCCAAGCACGAGTCAAACCACCTTGTGAAGCGTGCATGTGAGGGAAGGGTTAGCCACAATGCAGAGGGCCTCTTCTACAGTGTGGAGGCAATAATCGGAGTAGGCATTGTTTTGTGTTACAATAGAAGATGGTGATGCTTATTAAAGCATAATTCTCTCTATACGTAAAGAGCAACATAGCTCCAGACCAAGCTGGACCCCAAGAAGATCCAGTCAATAAAAAGGAGTGGAACCATCCTCAAATGTCCCTTGCCAGCAAGAAAGATTGGGTAACTCAAAGAAAGATTGGGTAACTCCCTCGGAGCTCAGAATGGGTTGCTGAGAGCAAAAGCAATTCTTTACTGAAGGTTTTCTTTTTTAAATAGACCAAGAAGTGTGAACCATGTGGTAAGTATCTGAGTCCAGACAGAGCAGGGACATACACCTGTAATCCCAGCACTGGGAAAGTGGAAGCAAAAGATCAGGGACTCAGTGTCAGCCTGGGCTACATGGCAAGTAGGAGGCTAGCCTGAGCTACATTTTAAACCTCATCTCAGAGAAGGCGAGGTCTCTGAGAAGGTGAGGTGTGGGGGAGGGGAGGAGGGAGAAATTTGTGCCTGTATTAGTCCTCAAGAACTTCAGCTCCGTGGACCTCATGTTGGCCTCCTAGAACAACACGGCTCACAGTCATTGGTTGAGTACATCCCTGAATCTTGCCACACAGTAAACACTGGGTAAGTCGGTCAGCGACTTGGGTACCGCCACCAATTTTGATCAATTTTTCACCCATTGTCTTTTAGTACTGGCTTCTCTTTGCTTCCAAGAGACGTGGAACTAATGGTTTGCTTCACCTGGCATAGTGTCAACTTTTGATATTTTTTTGCCAATTATTTAAACTTTAGTTTTAATAGACTTAATAATGATAATGTTAGAAATTTTTGTGCTTTAAACAAGGTATAGACAGTGAATGTGACTTCCTGGTCTGCCTTAGCCTAAAAATTTAATTCCTCCGTAAGACTTCCTGTCTCCACTAATACTTCCTGTAGCCATGTCCCCTCTGATACTCTCAGAGTAGGCAGCTTAATGGAGCACAGGTTCCCCTCACTGGGGTCTTATGGGATATCTGCTTCTCTTTTAAACTCGTGGTGTTGCTCTCTCTCTCTCTCTCTCTCTCTCTCTCTCTCTCTCTCTCTCTCTC